AAAGCAACATGTAACCCGAACAATGCTGTTGCCGGAAGGCATCTAACCTTTTATCACTCAACCAGTCTGTGTTATTATTTCATTATTTTTCAGTAACTCCTGACTCAATTTAATCATTTTCCATTTTTGATTCAGAGTTATTTTTGCACAACTAACGACAGTCGCATTCAATTCAGTTCCGTCATTTAGTACCTAGCAGCCACTGGCATTCCTTGTATTGTGTTAGTCTGGAAGTGCAAACCTTGTGTCACTCAAGTCACTTTAGTCTTACCCTGTGCTCCCAATAAACTAAGGTTTTGGCCTAGAACACCCAACAGTATTCTTAACCCTTGTTAGTGGAACTGCCATCTAAAGCCGTTGATCAATGCCACACTCTTCTCCATTTGTTTTATGCTTTCATTTGTCTTGCTGTAACTATTCCTAAATATTATTTTAATAGAAAACTCTTTCATTTAAACAACATTAAGGTTTGTCCCACCCGCTAGCACGGTAACAACGCTAGGTGCTAAAGCGGTGGTTTCTTCTAGGTTTTCAGTGTCACGATCGTTGTTCTTCACCTGGACAAATTAGGTGTCCGTGTTGAGGTGAGGTGCCAACATCAACCCCCAGTTAAGGATGAAGCCACGGCTTAATGAGGAGCTTAACGTTAGAGTAGGCGATAGAAACAATGTGTGAATGCAACACATTTACTGGGAAGATGAATCACATCTGAGACCCAAAGCAACATCTCAGACAACTAACAGAAGATTGGAATATTAGTACAGTCATGACTCGAATAAATGATAAGGTGGAGGACTAAGCACGAGTACGTAAGTAATGCCCTCATGCTCCCCATTATTGCAGTATATAGATAGCCTAATTATTATTGAGTGTTTAGCCCTAAAATTGGGCACTGCAGGGTCGAGAATTCAGCAAGCGACCGACGTTCCATGGAATTGCAATTGATAGATAAATTTCAAAATTTCAACGTGTGCATTCAGTTTCTTGAGCAGCACGCACACACAAAGATAAAACACGTGATTTCTCACCTATCCTTAACACCACTCAATTTTGAACACAGACTGGGATAGGATTACAGTAAATTTCAGAAGAATTGATACAATCGAAGAACAAATGAAATAGATTTGGCCAATTGAGCAAGCACCTGTTTTATATCCTCGATGTAAAATAAAAAAGTAATAATTAAAAAACTAATAATAAAATTCTAATTATGGGTACTTCATTCCTCTGCCATTGTCAATTAGCTTCTCCTAACATATTTACTAAGGTTGGGGCAACGAAAGATTTGATTGCTCGGGCTCTTCACCTGAACAGTTATTTTATGGAGAAAATAGCAAATTTTGAGCTACTAAAAATCGAAAGAATATTTGATACAGCTGTAGAAACGGCACCGATGCTTAACATCACTATTTCACACAGCTAAAGTAACAGCGCTCGTGCGTGGCATCACCACTTCACACAGCTAAAGTAACAGCACTCGTGCGTGGCATCACCACTTCACGCAGCTAAAGTAACAGCACTCGTGCGTGGCATCACCACTTCACACAGCTAAAGTAACANGGTGCAGCAGGTCTGTAGGTCGTAAACCTGTCTCTTATACACATCTAGATGTGTATAAGAGACCTGCTTTGAACGTCTTCGCCGCCGCAGTGCCTCGGAGAACGAAAGTTGCAGAATTGAATATTCCTACCTGAAAATTAAAACCATATTAGAGGGCAATTTTAACTCTGACGCTAAGAGTGATAATGTATGTCCTAGTGACTTATCCCCACAAAAGCAATAATGTGAGTAAATATTTTTTCGATTTTATTCTTAGAAACAATGAATGAGATTTGATTAGGAACGGTAAAGCAAGATGAATAATAGAGAAGTTAAGAGGTGACAACGAACAAGTTATTAGACAACAAAGATGTATGTAAGTCATTAGACAATAAAGATGTATAAACTAATGCAGCCCTGCAATAGAGTGCAAGTGGTAGGGAACTTAGGGTACGCACACAGTGAAAGCAGGTTGCCAGCGTGCTGGTTACCTGCTCAGGCTGGCGCCTGAAACCATAGAATACAGAAGCCTATTCGTACAGGTTTTCACTGTGAACACTTACATTATTATCCAATGTTCATTCTTGTGGCAGGTTGGAGCTGGTTGCCCGCGCGGGCAAACCTGCTTTCACTGTGTGCGTACCCTAAGGAAATTAACTTTCAAATGCGAACATCGAATAGCTAATCTATTTTAAAAATGTTAACAATTTTGATTGAAATTAGAGTGATTTAACGGCGGGGACCATTGCTGAGTAATTACACAAAAAGATCGTGACTAAATGTGATGGCAAATAACTTACACATAAATCTTCATTGAAATTGCGAGCAAATAGAATGTTCGAATAACTCAATTGTTGTTATATGAAGACACGATAAAGTGCTTCCTATCTAGATGAAGCCAAGAATTGAATTGTTGACGTTCGTGAGTGTTTATTCAGTAGAATTGTTTCCAAGAAGTTGATTCTACAATACGTTAATTAGAAGACAGTAGTGCAATAAAGTGTTTTCATTATGATTTATCAGTAACCGTAAACCAATAAGGTAATGTAGGCATGTTGGGGAGTTTCTCAGGGCACCAAAAACACGATATTCGAGTTTATTCCCATATCCTGATATAATCTAAGATACACAATTAACCCTCTATACAGCCGTATGTCACTCTCCATGAACATACTTTCAACTTAAATTCCACGTAAACTATTGAGTGTAACAACCATCAGTGCAAGTCATTTTGCGCTCACTAGAATGTATCCTCTTTGGGAAGTAGGCTTGTGACAATATTGCTCCGGTTACTCGTGTCAGGCGGTAGAGGGTTAAATAAGTTAACCGCGTATCACCGCATCACGTACATTGCAGACATGCTCGTTGCAGACATGCAACAACAACAACAACAATGGGGGAAATTCCATCACATCCTATTTAAACAGGTCGCAAATCTCCGCTCTGCTAGTCTCTAAAAATGGATGAAGAGGCTGAATTAAAGGAAATTAATTCTTAATACGGATTACATCTTTCAGGACACTGCATGACGTATTAAGTTGACTAAAGCATTATTATGTATGATTTATTAGGTAGTTACCCGGATTCTATTATTAATTTCCGTGAAATTTTTATCAGTTTCGTGGTTCATAAGTCATTGTGACATTTGCTTACAACACAGTTCTGCAAAAAAACACTTTTTAAAATTTATTTTGATTTTGTTGAATGATCTTTATGTGTTTTTGGGCTAATTTAAAAAATGATATTGGTTTTTCTCCTGCCGCGTAAGACAAAATAATTTCGATATGTAATGATTTCGGGTTAGTTTTTACTATTTTAACATGAAAAAATAGCAAAACGCACAACAATATTTTGTTAAATATATATCGTAGTGATAAGTTATGTGTTTAATTATTCACTTATTTAATATTATTCGCTTCACTTATTTGATATTCTGATAGAACCATTCTCGTTGGTTGTCACTTACAGCTCCTAGATTTTCTGGAAAGTAGTTCACATGTGAGTGAAGGAAATGGACTCATAACTGATTGTAGTCCAACATTTTGTAGTTTTGTGAAAATTCAGCACACGGCAAGTGTAAATTTTTGGTTGCTAAAGAAGCCTGTTACAACTAGTTTAAATGAATTTTAGGCATTATTTTCTTCCGTTGCCGTTCTGTGACAAAGGTTTTTTAGCGCATTTTCTCATTTATGGAAAAAATGCACTATTGTGCTCGCCATGTCCGTCTGTCTGCCTGTCTGTCCGTCCGTCCGCCTGTCTGTCCTTTCGTGGCTTCACGTTTTCGTCGACGAGAAATTAAATGAGCTCACTGCAGTGAGTACTGTGTTATATTTTTTACGTATTGCCCAACAAATACTCAGTGAAAGTCGAATCGTAACCTATCTGGTCCTTTGAAAATCTTATCTTCTTATCTTATCTTCACAGCCGTGACTTCTTTATCCGGGTACCGGACAAGCCGATTTTTAAATTTTTCGTGACTTGATTCACAAGGGATCCGGCCTTTGGAACACGATCTTTCCATAACTGACGATTGATTGAGATAGCTGCTGGACTTGTTGCCTGGTCCGTAATTTGCTAGGCATTTTAAGACTGAACATATGCTCCTGCATAGCTTCGTCTAGTCTGTTCTTGAAGGCGTTCATACTCGGAGCGTCAACGATGCTATCAAGGAGGCTGTTCCACATGTCGGTGACTCGAAGCGAGAAGAAATGTTGTCGCACGGATGTGTTCCAACGCTGTTTTTTTAGTTTATAGCTGTGGCCCCTGGTGTTGGTTCTTGTTTCAAATTCTAGTGATCCTTCTGGGACCTTGTATAAGCCATGAGTATACTTGTATGCTTCAATGAGTTTCCCATGCAGACGTCGATGACTAAGGCCTGGAAGCTTCATAATCATTAATCTTTCCTCATAGGACTTGCTTTTCAAGCCCGGAATTGTCCTTGTTGCACGTATCCCTTCGCGAAGATACTTGAAACAATTTCCTTTTGCTCAATGTTTTCACAAACTATTTCACAAGCCCCATCTTGATATGAAGTGAAAGAGGTAAGATTTCTTTGGAATCGATTAAACTTTGTATTTTAATTAACATTTTCAGCTCTTGGAATAAGAGCCTTTCTGATTGGCCACGTCTGCCTGACACAGTTTTGTCTTCTGTTACGGCTATCCTATTCACTGAGTGCATAATAACAAAATACTATTAAACCCACTAGTTAAACATGATACATTTTTTTAAGCGCAAACATGTGCAATTAACCCTTTCAATTGCTAAGTAAATCTATAAGATCTTATGATGGCGATGTATCTTTCGTACGATGACAGTTCATCGTACCAGCTTTTCCCAGAAGCTGAAGTCACAGAAGTTTAGTTGAACTCCACGGTTTTCTTGAATGCAATACACCACGCAGCAATAATGACATATTAACAAACACATCAGTTATTAGTTCTCTTCTTTATGTAAATAAATCATGTACTCCTGTGCTCACGTATGTAATAAGTCGGATGAATTGTGCTGACGAGGACGGGCATCCCGCGTGGGGTGTCGGTGACGCAAGAAGCCACGTCCAAAACAGAGAAAGGAGCAGAGTTGTAACCGCCATCTTTTCGAGGAAAGACGAAATCGTCCGCATAATTTTTGACCGCTAGAAAGAAAAAAATCTATTGTTAGTAATGTAATAAGAATATCCTACAACTATGGAATGCAATTTTGTCGAGTTTTTAAAATTCGAATTACCTTACGTTTTAAAATCGTATGAGGAAAACTAATAATTCAGTTTTTAATGACTTTGATATATACTTATGTGCGCCAAGATAATCAATGCTACTCATAAAGCGGCAACAGAAAACCATAATCGGAAAAAATAAAACGGAGAAATTAAATCAAATTTTATTGTGTTTGACATCTTGAGGCTGGCAGCCCAGCCAACATTTACAGAATGCCTATGTCGAGTCAGTATTTGAATTCTCAACAGTTCCCATGGTAATTTTCGCTTAGCAAGAGTGTAGATCAGCTCCATTTCATCGTGATTATGGGAGTGACGTGTGTAAGAGTAAAATAAGTGGTAACACTTAATACAAATTCAGCGGAAGATGTCACCAGGACAAGGAGACATTCCTACTCCATGCCTGCCACCTACGGTGCGCGGTACACGGTTTAAGTGCTGCTTCAAAATTTTACTGTGTCAAGGACTGTGTTCTCCGTCCTTTTCTGTATTTTTCTCCGTTCAAGAGATCTAGTTCGTGCATTTAATAATGGCTGGACAGAAAATAAAAAAGATAGTCGAAAAGCCCTCAACGGCCTCTAGAGAAAAGCCATCTACGGCCTCTAGAATAAAAAATAAAACCAAATCAGCCCAGCTAGAGATGGAAGTTAATCGGCGACAGGCCACATCAGGCCTACACTCCAGCGCCGACATCACTATGTTATGTTATGTTAAGGAAACCACTCTTCCACAAGATTAGGTGTTGTAAAAGCGGTGTTGAGAGAAGATAAGATTTTTCCGTCTAGTTTCAAGAGAATAATAAGTAATTCAGACATTTTTAACCACTTACCATCTCCCTCAAATGATTTCAAAGCTTGAGAAAAGATATCCGAGAAGAAATTCACGAGCTGGTACTGCTTTAATTCGATTTTTTCGACAGTGGTGTTGATGTAGGGAGCGGTGCCTGTTGAGATAAAATATAAAAAACAACGATTTACTGTCAAGGGTAAACGACATGCTAAATAGAGGTGTCAGTTTCAATAGACGCGAATAGCAATTAACTATCCGAGATAAGTGTTTATTAGGTCTTAGGTTGGCATAAGGAATGAGCGCAAATAAGTTTTACGAAATGGTACAGCACAATCTCTATAGGTTACCTGACTGCTGGTGTCACCGGCTCGCTGCTAATTAGAAAGACCCCTACCTGGATATGCATTTAGCGCAAAGTGGAAGTAACTTGTGGGACTCTACCTCGCTTCTAGTAAGATGGTTATGCAAAGTTTAGGATGCGTTGTACACTACTGGGTCTGCAGTGTAGATCCAACGTTTATGGGATTACTATGCTGTGCACAAATTCCCTAAATAGAGGAAGAACATCCGACTAAGAACGTTTAAGGCCCTGAAATAATCGCCATAGCTGTAGTTTAGGCCTTAAACTACGCTCACATTTAAATGCGCACACCTACACTTACTCCCTACAGTACGCCAAGACACACACCAGTAATGAAACGCACATTAAATATACATTCACTCCCTCATGTGGATTGATATTAATAAACCTGAACTCACACAGGCTCAGAGTTACCGGCCTTTATTTTCCCTAAACTTAATCATATTTATCGAAACACCGCAAATACGAACTTTCACGCTGAACTCATAACTTTTTCCAAGACCCACTACGCACTCAATGTCGACAGGCAAGGTCTGCTTAGAGCCACGGGGCGGAAGTTAGGGTGCTTATACACGGGGTTAGTATTAGCTCCGAGTATTCACTGCAAGTTTTTGCACTCCAAATATTGTGATGATTAATTCTTAAGATGCATGTAGCTGATGCAAATGTGTATTAAGCTGTTTAGGTTGTTAATGTGCCATCAAGTATCGGCGGTAGGGCTGCAGCAGCCTTAATGTGCATATCTGTGCAGCTCTGTATCCCGCTAGGGGCAAATATTTCTAATGTTAAGAACTATGTCTTGTGTACGAGGTTGCTTTTCTCTTCACCTCTTATATGATGGTAATTAAATAAGACCTGAGGGTTGGTCCGGTTTAGCGGGATCCGAGGATATTGAGGAACAGCGTGAACGATTATAGAATATTATTTAAGATTATAGTTCGGCTTACAGTTTAGAATAATCTAAGTTTATAAGTTGGAACTCTAACATTGATGTCTTCGGCGTCCAGTTGAAATAATAATTATAATAAGTCTAGACAACGAATAAGTCTAGACGACGCTTAAAGAACGTCAGGAGGTGTTCGAATGATATTGAACTGATCTTATGGATATTGCAAATGTACGATCTACGGTAGAATACGCGTCACGATGAATATTCCAGCAAAATTCAATTGAGAAAGTAGTGTTTTGAAACTTGAACGATACCCAGAGGTGGGCAGTAGCGCGCTACATGTAGCGGCCGCTAGTAGCGGCCGCTACATGTAGCGCAGTAGCAGTAGCGGCTCTACATTTAAGGCAATGTAGCGGTAGCGGTAGCGCCCGCTACATATTTAAGTAGCGATACGAGGTTTTGCAGATACAGCGCTACCGCTACATTTATAAATAAAGCTTTTAGATTTTACTTAAGGGGTCCGGCTACCCTCCAACAAAACTTTTTTTTTTACAGACGGATCGTTTTGAAACTTAGTACACATATGTAAAACAGAAATCTAAGACCTTTTTGTTCATGTAAATTAAAAAAATGAAAGAAAACGTGGAAATGATAGAAAACTGGAAATGATGGGTACTCTAAATAAAATGTATAAAAAAAATTTTAAAGACCACGTTTTTCATGTGGACTCGAAAGTAGAAAATGATTTTACGGCAGCTACTGATCTCTGTTTGCTTTCATTCTCTTGGTCTTTTGTATTTCGGTTAAAATATTTTACAACATCTAAAACAAAAAACGTGGGGCGCATCTTCATTTAGGCATGCCTTAATTTCAATTTTGTATTCAACCACTATTTCGAATTTTTCTATCACTATTCGTTACTCCATATACCTTTGATTCGATAGTCAGCTATTGAATAGTGAACTATTTAGATACTTAATGCATTTTCTTTTCAAATGTCTTAATATGCCTCTTAAATTGATTAGATATAGTCCACGCGTTCATTTAAAATTCTCAAAATTTGATTCTTTTAAAATTTTCACATACCCTGACCTGCGTTTTTCATGATTCATATCTTTACTTGCTTGAATTACTTATACACATTACAAACTACCTATATTGGATGAAACATGATAAATCAATATACCAACAGTAAATAACAAAATTTGCTCAAATCAGATATATCAGCAATACACTTATCAAATGTTCAATGAACCATCATATTCATCATATCAAGTAATCACCAAACAATTAAATACACATGCGCCCCACGTTTTTTGTTTTAGATGTTGTAAAATATTTTAACTGAAATACAAAAGACCAAGAGAATGAAAGCAAACAGAGATCAGTAGCTGCCGTAAAATTATTTTCTACTTTTGAGTCCACATGAAAAACGTGGTCTTTAAAAATTTTTTTATACATTTTATTTTCTACTTTTTAGTTTTTTTAAGTATTATATTTTCTCCTTTTTAGTCCGTTGCTACACATGAAAAACGTTGTTGCGAGCCAATTTACTTGACTTGACGTACGTATCGATGATACGCAGCGTATCATCGATATACGCAGTCTAAACACGAATATCCTCTCGAGGATGACGTGCATTTATAGGTTCCCAAACCCCTGCTTGTGAGTTCCTTTAGAGTTTATAACTACTGCAAAAAGGTCAACCATCCTACATAATATTCATTTTATTTCAGTTGGCCACGCAAATGCACGAAAGAAAATTCTTTTCGAAGTTCTGTAGAAAATTGTATTCGAGGGGATACATTGTTGTTCCCGTATTTATCTGGGTGCGTGGCTGTAATAAAGAAAGGTTCGGTAATAAATACGCCTGGAAACGTGCAACAAATTATTGATTATTGTATTGTTATCGGGAGCTGAGCTTCCCTAAAAGTTTCAGAGCGCTAGCTAACGGGAAAGTTGGTGAAATATCGATTGCATGATTTGATCATCAGACAGAGGGACACGAAAGCGAGCTAAGAAAAAGGTGGTGAAAAGTTTATAACTTTTGCAAATCACATGCTACAATGTCGAGACACATATCATTCGATTTGTAACAACATTATCTAGCGACTGTAGAGCCCCAATTTTTTATTTTCCTCATCGTTTTTTTGCGTTCTTCCCATTTTTTTTCACATTTTTCACATTTTTACCCCCCCCCACCTTCCTCCCCCTCCCATATATAAGTCAAACCATGCACATATTAAAAAAAGGCTTCTAGAGTGAGCAACTTCATCTCATGATCCGTGATGAATTCAACAGGCTCCCTGACACCCTTGACAACAACTCTCACTGTGCTGGAGAAACACACCAGCATCTTCATCGTGCAGTGACCAGAAATATTCGACCGACGATAGCTGAAGCCCTCATCTCTACGGATTGGACTCCAGCTACTCGTCTCATAACTACCGGATTTTCTGAACTTTGAGATTGTTTCGGAATTATTTTCGCGGTTCCAAATTTTCGTGTTGTATCATATTTACGTGTTTCATGTACTTATTTCCGCCAAAATTTCAGTATTCAATGCTTCCTATAACTGAAAATGAATGATGTCACATTCGAAACGTCGTTAATAAATTAAATTACTTCATTGAACCTGAATTTTTATCAACCAACGTCCACTGAAGAATATTGTTCGATCCTGAAAATTTAAATCAATGATTTCTCTGGTCATTAACCACTCGTGTTTAAATGTTCATATATATATATTTTTAGAATTGTCTTACGCAAAAATTATAGCACGCACAGACATGCGGTAAACTGCGTTAGACGCGCCTTTTCAGCAGCTACAAAATGAGTCAAGAACACGGTAAAGCCAAAATGTTCGATTTTTAGGGTAGCCGGTCCCCTTAATAGTATTAAATATTATTTAAAAACCGGCATGATACATACATAATATAAATTACAGAATAAAACTGTACGAAAGATTTCGGTGTAATGTTGTCAACCTCAGCCTGTTACTAGTGTTAACATGTTAGTTGTTACTTGTTAAGTTGTTACCAGTTACCACTTGCAGGTTTTTTTCATCTTTCAGTTTGCTCACAGTTATTTTTATGTTTCACCTTCCCTACATGGATGTCTACTTTAATATACCAATCTCAAAAATAATCCACTTATATATACAAAAAAAGACTGATTTTTATATGTATATGTGGATAATTTCTTAGATTGGTAGATTAAAGTTCACATCCATGTAGGGAAGGTAAACATAAAAATAACTGTAACTTCTATTTACTGTATCTAACCCTGGGATAACCCATACTAGTTCGGTTAGGTTAATTGCAATAAAGTTGCATTGATATGTTTTAAAAATGTTTTATTATCATTAAATGTTAATGAGTAAATCCCAATAGCAAAACAATAAATATTTAGAGGTTTCCAATAATTTTGGCCATTGTAGCGGCTAATATAGCGCGCTACATTTTACTGTAGCGGTAGCGGTAGCGCCCGTTACAATCTAGTGGGTGTAGCGGTAGCGGTAGCGCCCGCTACATTTAGAGCATGTAGCGGTAGCGGTAGCGCCGCTACATTTCCAAGTAGCGCTGCCCAGCTCTGACGATACCTTATTAGGTCCCTCACTTAAACTCTACGTTGATCTACATGGTTTTCAACCTCAACAGCAGGTTCTTTTGCCTGGTTCATCAAACGCATCCTCAATCTCGTCTTTACCGTTAATTACGTTCCATATACCATGTACAGACCTCGGTCGACGGCTCCAACGACGAACTGGCACTTGCGGATGCGAAAATACTGTTTAACAAATACTATCCTCGTATATAAGCTTTCAACCGGCTAAACTGGGAGTGTAAAACATGCAATGCATGCTCACAGCTTATACTAGCCGCATGTAAAAGTGCCTTTTGGCTTGAGATTAGTGCAAGTCACAGCCTCGCATAACCTAACCTAAACAACACTTCTGCCTTCTAACGCCAGGTGTTATTTATCCATAACAATTTACTCGAGATCCTTCTGAATATCGATGGATGCAGTCAGACGACGTTGAATGTATTGTATTTGCTTGTGGAATCAGAAATAGTTCACTTACGCAACTAAAAATTTAACACATTTATTTATTTCAGGGTTACTTCAATCGCTGACCAGTTTGACTTTAAAGCAAATTCTCTGCTTCACAAATCAAATCCGAATTCTACGTTCATCTATAATTTCAATCTAACTTGTGAACGTACTCATACACAGTAATGTTACAGCTAATTCATACATGTATCTCACGGACTCACTGAAAGGCACAGTTGCAGGTGGTCCGTAGGAAATGCTGGAATTCGCCACGTAAATGACTTTCTCGCCATCAGGACATGAGCAAGGCTTCCATTTGATTTGGTAAGCCGTGCAGGTTCCATCGAACGCGAAGGCAGTCATATCTGGAAAAATTAATTCGTTTCCTGGCAATTTTATTATGATTCAGACATATGTGATTAATATTTTGCTCTTAATAAATTTCGAGTACCTAAATCTTTTTTTCGCAAGAGCTTCAAAACCCAAAAAAGATTCCACACTCACTGAGATAGGATGACAACCACCACTCTTAATTGCTGAGTAAACTCATGAACTTATGCTCGTTGATGGATTACCTTGTGAGCTGAATATTCAATGTTGCAAATAATTAGCTAGTCAGAGAGGAAAACAGAACTCTGATGATAATTTTATCATGCCTCACTTTAACCCAACCAATACTTAACATAAGTTTCGTATTGTTTAGAAGTATGGCATGAAGTTTCCCCAATTGAAGGCAACTTTGGTACAACAATTCAAAATCACATCATAATAAATTTGCAGAACAATGGAGAGGTCTGAACATAGTTCTGAAATGAGGATGTAAAGTTTGTTGACACATTATGATACATTGATAAATAATATATTAAATGCTCTAAAATAGAGAGCTGATTAAATGAAGACAGGGCCCTAAATTTGGGCCAATCAGACCCCAGCTGATCGTATCTTTCATAAATAACATTTAGTTCGAACAAAGTCGACTGATTATCACGAACGCGCACAAAAAGTTTCATATCTGCACGGTTTGATTCGTACCATACTGCAGGGCCCTCACCATGCAGTCCAGTATTCTTTAATGCATTTTTGTAGAACATGCAAGCCAGCCGTGCAAAGCACCTGACATTTCAGACACGGTCCTGCCAAGATCAAGGCAAAAGATATTTGACCTTGACTTGACTGGCACGGTACGAAAAGAACTGAAAATACGAAAATGATGCGAAATGAGCTGAAGTGAAGACGACCCGTGACTGGACTCAACATACGGATGCTCCTGACTGGGAACGGACCGTGACTGGCATATGCTTAGAACGCGCCAGGCAGAAGGTGAGAATCAAGCCTAAATAAGCCCGGAAGTTGCGAATAGTAACACCGTCGTTGTATCGGTGATACCGTTGGTACCGCTCTCGGCCTGGTAAGGCTTGCCCAATCCTAGGTAAGTTCACCACAATCCTGAATGCTGCTACCAATGTTCTGTCCATAGATTTATATATTTTATCATCCGGTATCGCTTGCGATAACTTTTGACTAACATCCAAGTAGTGAGATCGCATTAACTAAGTAGTCTCTCGGGTGTAGCGCGTCATTATCCGATGAAATCAAAAATACTTTCCCACGGGATGGAATCTAAAGTAGGATTCTTACTTGCCAAAGCAGACATTCTCGCGCACTGCACCACATCCGATGCTGTGATGTTTTTGGACGCAGTCGTTGCGAAAGCCAAATCGTTCGCTGTGATCTGAAGGCGTCGATACGTCTGAAGGAAGGACACACGTACGTTAGCGTCGGTACGTCGAAAGGAAGGACGCACGTTAGCGTCGGTACGTATGAAAGAAGGACATACGTTAGCGTCGGTACGTCTGAGAGAAGGATAAAAGTTAGCGTCGGTACGTCTGAAGGTAGGACACGCGTTAGCGTCGGTACGTCTGAGAGAAGGGGCATATTTAAGTGTCGGTACGTCAGAAGAAAGGAAACACGTTAGGTTGGTACGTCTAAAGGAAAGATACGTCGGTATGTCAGAGAGAAGGACGCACGTTAGCGTTGGTACGTCTAAGAGAAGGACACACGCTACGTTAGTGTTGGTACGTCTGTGAAAAAGACACGTTAACGTTGGTACGTCTGAAGGAAAGACACACGTTAACATCGGTTCGTCTGAAGAAGAATACACGTTAGCGTCGGTACGTCTGAGAGAAGGATACACGTTAGCGTCGGTACGTCTGAAGGAAGGACAAACGTTAGCGGCAAGATTTTCTGTGCAGTTTTCAATGAGCGAATGCAAATATGTATGGAGCGTGAAGGAGGACTTGGTGAGGAGCAGAATGGTTTCAGGTATGACAGAAGAGCAGAAGAAAACATATTTGTTGTGAATTTATTGATTGAAAAAAATGAAGAGAGATGGAAGGAGAGTCTACTTGGCCTTTATAGATACAGAAAAAAAGTATGATAGAGTTGTCAGAAAATTCTTGTGCCAGATATGGAAAAATTGGTACGAGTGAAAAGTATGTGACGATCGTTAAAAGTATGTAGGTAAATACTCGAGCTAAATAAAGGCTTGGAGATCTGGAGACTGACTGAGTGAAAGCGTGAAGAGCGTTTGACAAGGATGTATCCTGTCACCGCTTCTCTTCAACCTATACACTGAAGAGATGGCTGCTACACTGAGAAGAATGTATGTGGGAGTGTGTGTTGGAGTTAGAAGACTAAAAAGGCTATTGTATGCTGATGATGCAGTAATAATGAGTGAAAATGGGGTTGAACTTCAGAGTATGGTTGACTCTATAACTGAGTACGGCAAGGATTTCAATGTGCGCTTTAGCCCAGAGAAGAGTCAGGTGGTAGTTAATTGTGAACGGAGCAGCTGAGGATGTTGACAGAGTGTGGCAGCTGGGAAAAAATGTAATTGGGATGACAAATGAGTACAGATAATTGTTAATGAGTGTTGAATCAAAATGGATGTGAGAGAACTAAAGCATTAAGTCCAAGTAAAGCGAATCAGTGGTTAGGAATGCCGGGCAGTGCAGCATGAGTGAGAGCAAGTAAATATGACGTTCTAGGACAAGTATGGAAAAGTGCGGCGGTACCTGGGATTATGTATGGAATGGACGTTATTGCGTGGAATGGTGGTGAATTGGATAAATTGGAGGTTGTACAGAATAGCATAGCTAAACTGGCTCTTGGAGCCTCAGATGGACTGCAGTGGAGGCTCCTTGAGATATGGGGTGGAGTACTTTTAGAGAGAGAAGAATGAAAGCAGCACTGAGATATAAAGTACGTCTGGAAAGAATGGATGATGTACGTTGGGCACGTAAGATGCACCCGTAGAACTTGAGAGTGAGCAAATGGGATCGTAAGTGTGATGCAATAGTACGAAAGTGTGAGTTACATGAAACATGGGCTCGCCCTCCATGGGAATAATAGACCAAGAGAGGAATGGATGATGACAGTACAGGGTGCAACAGGGATCGAATGAGATGTCGAAGAATGAAAGAAAGAAATAGAAAAGAGAGTGAAATTGTGTGGTTTAAGAGTTTGGAATCAAGGAATGGAAAGAAAGGACAGCCTGCATGAGATTGTACAAGATGAAAGAGATGCCAAGGTATGAGTATATATATGATGGAAGTAGAGATGGAGACTTAATGTTCTGTGTGAAAGCAAATGCGTTGAGTGTGAATGAGCGGACATACAGGTGGAATGAGAGAAGAAAGTATATTTGTTTAATGTGTGACAAAGAGGAGAGGGAAACTGTGGAGCATATGATGATGGAGTGTGATGCATAAGCGAGGAAGAGACAGGAAATGATGAGAGTGATACTGTATGACTGGAATGAGGTAATGGTGCGATGTATGAGCGAACAGGAGACGAATGGATTGCAATGATTGTGGGCCTGTCAACGGGGGTGACTGCTGCTATGACTGAGAGAGGGAAGCGATTTTTGGAGAGTGCGTGGAGGGCGAGGGACATGAGGTTGGCAAGAGTGGAGGCCGGGGTGTAAGAAAAAAAGCAATAATAAAATTGGAATAACCAAACCATAATAATATAATATACCACAAATAGTCATTCAGAGCCTAAGAGGCCCCATACCTAATACAAATACAAACTAAACAGTGCAATAATTAACAAATAGCAATAATAAACCAAATGGATTTCCGCTTGAATTTATCTTCCCCTTGATTTCATCTCACCCTTAACACAAACTTTCTCACCCCTCTAGCCTCTCCTTTTATTTTTCTTCCACTTGGCTTGGTTTCCCTTTTTCCTTCCTGCTAACAAATGAATATGCGATGCGTGGCTGATGGCCGTTGCAAAGGCCTGATCCTGAAATGTTTTTCTGAGACAACACCCCAAATCCAAATCCAAAGGTGCGTTTGAAGGAAGGACACACGTTAACGTCGGTACGTCTGAAGGAATTACACACGTTAGCGTCGGTATGTCTGAAGGAAGGATACATGTTAGCGTCGGTATGTCTGAGAGAATGACACACGTTAACGTCGGTACGTTTGAAGGAAGTACACGCGTTAGCGTCGGTATGTCTGAAGGAAGGATACACGTTAGCGTCGGTATGTCTGAGAGAAAGAGAATGACACACGTTAGCGTCGGTACGTCTAGCTGAAGAAGGGACACGCGTTAGCGTCGGCACGTCTGAAGGAATTACACACGTTAGCGTCGGTATGTCTGAAGGAAGGATACATGTTAGCGTCGGTATGTCTGAGAGAATGACACACGTTAACGTCGGTACGTCTGAAGAAGGGACACGCGTTAGCGTCGGCACGTCTGAAGGAAGGACACGCGTTAGCGTCGGTATGTCTGAAGGAAGGAGACACGTTATAGCGTCGGTACGTCTGATATATAGACACGTTTTCATGCATAATTTGACGGAAGGATTAACATTCCACCACCTGTTAATAATTTATCAAGCCTCATTAAATATGCAAATCAGCAAGTGATTCATGCATTAGCTGAATATACGGGTAATAACTCTACTCAAATGAATGAAATTCAATAAACCGGCATGAAAATGACAGGTAAATGACTGGAAAAATGATTCACCATTTCAAGGAGCCAAATGCAAAAAATTCGTTGAACAAAATCGGTAAGGGATAAAAAACTACGTCTCAAACATGTCTTTTATAGTTTGACATTGAAAAATATGTACAACCTGAAAGTGGTATATATTTTCCGCCGTATTGCTGCAAGTGTTTTTTTTTGTATTTGAATGGCTCACCATCATCGATGTCGGGCCCCGCATTAACAGGGTCCTGAAGCGCACGGAAGTGGTAGTCGCCCGACAGCCCTGCAGACCAGACGAGCGTGAAGCCACGTTTACCTGCGGGTGGGTTACTTCAATATGTTAAAGGTAAATGATGACGCATAAAGCTCGCATCTGCAATTGATGAATTGTGCGGGTTGCTTGTTCGAGGTTTTATATAAGGCTTTGAATGGGCTCTGTGTGAAAGTACGTAGATTACAATTAAAAAATTATAAGAGGCTTTTTTGAAATAGCGATGCACTTCAGTGTGTATTTGCTTCAGTGTGGGTTACCCTGACACAATTTGGCCCGGCCAAAGAGCACAGACGTGTAATGCTTCCGTGACGCTATTAATCGATTCGATGTTGCTGAATTCAATGGATTAAAAGTAGTTTTTTAAACTGTTTGTAAATCCTTTCCAAGCAAGTAATCGGATAGATCATGAGAACTTTGATCAATATGTTGTGAAAATACAGGATGAACCTTTCAGTTCCATTTTCAATCGACCAAAACCTAAGATTATATGGTGCCTCAACTAGAACGAACTATAACGTTCTGGAAAACTCTAATATTGTTAAAACTTTGCCGATAACTTTGCATTATGAACTATATACCAGAATACAAGTTAAAGAAAATGCCTCTGAGGTAAATGCTTTTATCTTCTACTCTAGCATTAGCGAAACATGCATTGTTAAAAATCATAGATAAGATCATTTTAGGTCTAAAGAATTTTGGAGCCTAGCTGTAACATTTTTTTGCACGAAAGTTCACTTAATAAAAAATAACCGTGCAAAACGGATAATGCACAAATGATAATCTAAGGAGCAAATAAAAATTGTTGCAGCTCACGCTGTCGGAATACGATGCCATAGAGAGTCCAAAGCACAGCACCTGCACATAGAACAAGTTAAAATGAAACAAGGGGAACAGCATCAGGAAAAATAAATCAATGTAAATATTACTTACGTAAGTACATAAGGCACGAGGATAATAAATAATAACAATTATCTTCGGATATACTCACAATTGGTTGCTACCGTTGCAGTTAATTTAATATGAGACTTACAAGAAGATACGTAGTGCTTTTGACGCAAAAAGAAGCAGTAACCGTGCAATTGAAGTGAGGACATTTGGTTAGACTGGCAAATGGTAAATTATAATCTGAATAAATTTTAAGCCTTCTCAAAATAACTCACATAGGCGATCACTATTAATGAAGGGAACTTTTGGGAAATTATTGCGTAAAAAACATGCACGATGTACCTTCTTACAAAAATATTTTAGCCCGTGGCAACTGAGTGACTAGTTTCAAGAATGTAAATTCTTTGCAATTCATCTGCAATTTGATTATAATTGAAAATTTCGCCGCTGATAATAAAAGGTAATTTTCTTAAATTACAGTTTTAAAAACAATGTTATGATGTTCGTCTATGCATAATTATCATAAAGTGCATTTTGTTGGCACTTATAAAATAAACTATTTAGGAATTAACACTCACACAGCCGGTCTGTGTGAAATTTCCTTAATATAAACAAACTGTTATTGACAATCTATTAAGAAAGTTTTAAAATACATTTGATATCTGGTTTTGATGCCGACTGGTTTTAATTCTGAGGTACGTATTCTGTGAACATTTCAACGCGGCCTAACAATATGTTATATTCACTGTTGCATTAAAAATAAATAATCGGAAATGGAACATGCACTGAAAGTTCAATAAGTACGCGCAAGTCAATCAATTGCCATGCAGCCAAATTGCTAAGTTTACCACTCCGTATATTTTGAGGATATGTCTCATGAATAAACATAAGTTGACGTCAGTCTCACCGAAGTGAAGAGGCCACTGAGGATGTTCTTTATGTGAAGCTCCTTCATCATTTTGACTTTAACGTTTCTTTTTACTTTCAACAACTTTCAAACAATGATTCTGACCACTGTAAAAAAATTCGTCAGGTTTTGTTTTATACGTTCTTTTGCCGCAGTTTACCTACGCACGCAATCCTTACAATTGTTATACCAGTAGAGTACGACATGCATGGTAGAAGAATGAGGTCATAGTATCCACAAAGTACTATTAGCTCAGAGTAATTTTAAGACATCAAAGTTCTGAACTGGGTTTAGACATTTGATGTCATAAGATATGGTGTCTTAATTATACAGTACTCCTGGGATTCAAGAACAATAAAAAATATCGACGAAGCTCACCGAGACATGAGAATCATAGTAAAAAATGGGGAATAGGAAGGAAATAATTGTTTGTCTGGTGATATGCGATTCCAACGAAAGCGGAGAGCATCGATCGACTAACCATTAAAAAACAGGGAAACTCTAAATGGAAAAATGACCAATCCCTATCGCAGCGAGTGATCCAAGAGAGTAATCAGATAGCTCAGCTCATTAAGGCTGGGTCAATGATCTGGCCGGACTCTGCCGTATCGTAATTGTACATACAACCTTTAATGACAACATTTTAAGGGGTAAGTATTAGGTGGAGTTTGAGAGGTAAATGATTGAAATCTTCCTCGAACGGCACTTCTGCTCCCATGCAACACCTCAGTTCACAACGTACTGGACGATCACGCGCCCGAGTGTGCCTCGATTGTAGAAAGACTTCACACGTGGTAGGGACTTCACTGTTCATTAAGAAACTCTTAATTTTTTATGTCGAATTGGTGATTCTAGAACTAGCTTTAACAATTTATACAAGCAGGCAAATTTCCTAAGCAGGCATTTTCAAACAAAGCAAGAGAACAAGAGCTTCCAAATTACTTATGATCCCGGCAGTAGCTGGCAATCGGAGAGCGAAACGTGAATTTTGACCACATTTTAAAGTGGAGCAATATCGCAATAAGAAAAAGCCATCAGTTATGATTTTGTCTACGGTCAGGACTATTCCATCCTTCTTATGCGATAGAGCAATTCATGAATGAAAGCTTTGGTAAAAAAACGACGATAGTTCAAAGTACTGAGCAACCCTTTAAAATTTTGTAGTGTCGACAAGGCTGGCAGCCAGAGTGGTTAGGCGTGGCCACGCCTAACCAGCGTCAAAAAGCCTAGTCACATTTGTAGTCAGTACGAGTATGTATGTAATCTTTATCACCTCTGAAGAGGATTGCGTGCTCAAGGTCGGCCGTGCCAAAATTAACCATCAACATAAATTCATTTCAGTGGGCAAAGATATCAGAGGGCAATATATTTTATACGATCAATTGCTAAACGCAATTGGAGCAAGAAGTCCAAAACTGTCTTGAATTACCAAGAGAAGGCAGGAGGGGTAACCTCCGCTGCACGGACGTCATCAAAATTATGACAGAGTACGAAGAGTATTTTCTAGTACAAAGCAAATCTCATTACACCTAAGCACAAATGGAAAGGTAATAACGAGTAGGCACTGAAACAAGCACTGTCATCAAGACGTCGGTGATTAGGTATGTCTTCAATTTTTCCCTGGGGGAGCAGTAATCTGATAGCTCTTTGTCAATTGCGAACGGTAAAAATCCCAAAATCTACAAACGAAGGTTTAACTTCTTTTACCTGGAATCTCACTCATAAGTTTAGCAATTACTCCGAAAATGGGTTTTCAAATAGAAGATTTTTCTCGTGTGATCCACGAATTTATATTTTTACAGTGAATATTCTTAAATGCTGCATCCACATATTTTTCTTTACTTTTTAATATTAAGGCTAATTACGCATGGATTATTTCACTGTTGATATTTAACCCAGAGTCAACAAGTCACTGTGGACGTTTTATAAAAAGTTATAAACTTCGTGTAGGGAATTTTTAAGCCATAGCCAATGAGGCTGTGGTGCGACACAGAGTGAACACAAATTTCCATAAAAATCTACTAAAGTGGCCACAAACTTTACTTTTCATATAAACTTTATCGTTATTTTCAGATCTTACATTACCTTTGTAAACTGGATTCACTGCAAAAAGTTATACATGGTGTCCCAAAAAATGTCCCTACCTTTTGATTGCCGCTTTAAATTAACAAGTTCAATTTTATTTCGTTTTCACGATGTATATTTTCACAAAAAGTATTCTGCATATAAGACAATAATGTACAATAAAATTATGTTAATATGAAGCGGAGATGTAATCATTTCATATTTTGGTGAACATTTTTGCATGAAACTCTGTGTATTAAACCAATATTTATATATATGGTCACAAAACCTCACCACAATTTTACCCTGTCGGAAAATGAGGGCGGCTACGAACTAGTAACCAAATATATTTTTTACCGCGACGCGAATCTCCGCTACGAGTGCCCAGTCGAGACAACCAAACCGAACACAACGCACACTCGTAATGAGGCAGGCGCAAGTGCTGCTTCAAGCATGAGCAGGGAAAGCTTGCTTTGGGGTATTCAAAAAATAAAAACAGCTGTTCCGTCTCATTCACAGCTGCGCTTGTAGTTATTTTTGAATCGAAATCGTTCGTTTTTACAAGTCTGTTTTAGTCATGCATCACAAACTTAGTCAAATGCAATTCATTTTAATTTATCCATGTATTCATACTGAAACATAATAAATTTGTAAACTTATTTTCTATTTATCTATTTATTTACATATTGATTTGATCCTTTATTTTGGTAACGATAAATCACCATTTTATCTTCGGCCTCATTTGATGTTTTTAGTAGTTGAATCTTCAAAACTTTTTCTTTCATGTTGAATATTCAATGTGAAATCTTCAGTATAATATTCCTCACATGATGTCGAAATGAGTTGAAAAAATAAAGCAGCGCATTTTTATTTTTTTAGAATTTGCGAAATGATTTTTATGTGGCCTCTTTTCTTGACTAAGATCATGATCTGTGAGTTGTTGACATGTGACGGTAAGATCGTTAATATATATATGTATATATAAGGATTTCGAATAATTACCGGACAAAACTGGTAACATTACCGACAGGGGTTAGAAAACCGGGCAAAATCGAGTCCGGTTATTAACTCTGCAATTAGTTTGTACTTAAAAACCGGACACGAAAATAAATGAACTACACTACCGGACATTCTAAAAAAACGGTTAGGGGTTCAATTATTTCTCGTTAGGTTAGGGTTAGAGTTAGGGT